CGAGAAGCCGCCTGTGTGCGAGTGCCGCTGCCGAATCCTGTATACTTCAACCCCAATTTGAGGCAGGATGTATTTCGGACGAACGCTGATCGCGCCATGTATGTCATGGTGCAGGAGTAGCATTAGGCAGCAAAGGCCGAGGGTCACACTGGGACTTGCTCGTGAAATGACGACTGTGCCACATGCAACACAGGGTTCTGCTTCAAGTTGGCATACGCATGTCCGTCGTGATTCTTGGATCAGCTGCCTGTGAGGAGTACGACATGCCAGGTGTGGTATTTTCGCTGGACGGCTTCTCGGCACAGCATCGGCAAAGCAGTGAGAGACATCAATCACCTAAATGCTGTTTCGTTGACACACTTAGGCGCAAGATGTCTGTCAGGCCAGCAGGTGAACCAAGACATACGTGGAACCCTATCCGCATGTTGCGCGACCACCATCTGGGTACCAAAGTCTGGCCATGAGGCTGCTTCTTGTATGTGTCGTCTTCGCTGCCGCAGCCAGCCCGTAGGGAGGAGGAGGAGGTGGGGCCGGGAACGGAGCTTTCGCGTTTGGGAGTTCGGAGTTGAGAACACTTGATTCGAGAGCCCACTGCAGAAAGACGCTAAACTTAAAGAATAAGTTGGTGCTGTTCTTCCTTTGAGCCGGCTCGAGCTTCAGGCATCAGGCTCTCCGGGGTGCTTCCCGTCCGAACCGTCCTACCCCGTTACGGTGGCACGAACGCACGTAGCTCCGGACCGCTGCCCTATGGTGCCCCACCCCCTGTCCCCAGAAACTTCTCTTGGCAGGTGAAGGCGCTGTGTGGGCAGCTGGCCATCTTTGAGGTGCGGTAGCAAGGCTTAGTAAGGAAGAAGGAAGACCCGACCCCACTGTAATGCAGCACACAGCCTTTTGGTCTTCGATGGCGTGGAATCCTTGCATGCCTTGCGCGAGCGCGAGCGTCGAAAGGCCCCGAGGAGAGATGGGGCAAACCCAAAGCCCCAGAAGAACATGTTGGGTTGCAAGCCCTAAGCCCTGCGTGGCAAACCCCTGCCATGTTCAGAGCGGTCAGCTAGGCGGGTGGCGAAAAGGGAGATGTTGGGCCTCAAGCTAACCTGAAAGGGGGTCCTATTGACGTTGAGCGGCGAATGCTGAACCGTAAAAGGTGGCATGGTGACAAGACAGGTGGGTGGCAAAGATACAAACACAAATACTTTACTTTGACCATCCCCCCACCCTACAGCTATCTGATGCGGTCGCCATCCTACTGTTTTCAGACAGGAAAAGGATACAGATACGTCGCTGCAGGCTTTTGTCGTGGGACTACAAGTATTCGTGTTCCCAGATGCCATGATCTACATTGTATCATGTAATCAATGTAATCTCCAAGAAGGGCGAGGCCCTGTGTTTCAAGCAGCTCCAAATTTGATGGGCAACTGCTGGGGACCTTTGGACCTCATGATTCTCACGCCTTAGACGGCTACAGCAAGCAGCCAGGAAGTGCAGAACACAATGGAATGTAAGATTCCGTGCAGAAAGTAGACACCCTACCGAGGCTTCCTTTCTGCCTTGGATGTAGCCTTCTTTTCAACCTGAACCCAAAACGTGGCCACAGCTTGGAGGCAGCCTGAAGCCCGGGAAGTTGTCAGAAACTCTCTGTCTCTGTGCCTGCTGTAGAAGGTCCCAAGGTTCCTGACACAACTAAAGTTTAGAATGGCTACCTCGAAATGATATGCGTAGTCAGTTTAGGTTTAGGCCCCGACATCATTTCCAAGGCCATGGCTTCCTATCTTGAGGCCTCGGTCACGAACGATTTGCAGGCAGCCGTCGAAGTCCAGCAGGGCAGCGGCTGGCAGGTGCTTTACCCTGGCCGCAGCATGCCGCTCACCAGCGAGGAGGCCGTGCTGCGACTGCGGGAGGCCCGGCACATTCTTGGCCGCTCCCCCGTAAGCTCCCTGCGATGCTCGGAGGACTTCGGCTCCTTCAGCACTGAGGCTGTTCAGCGTGATCGGCAAGAGCAGGAGGCAGCAGCCCATGAAAAGCGCCGGCAGGAGGAGGTGCAACATTGCCAGGAGACCGAAATGCGGAAAGCCGCAGCAGCCCTTAGGAACCGAAAGCTGCGTTGCACTCCATGTGCTGCTGCCGCAATCGCATTGCTCCTTTCTGTAATGCTGTGGGTTTGTGCGGCTTTCGCCATTGAAGTACGAGAAGATGTCACCGCTGCAGACGCTGCTCTGCTAAGCGCTGTCGCCATGTTCGCCGGCGCCATGCTCACTTGCCTGATTCAGCGAGACTGCGGTGGAGAAAATTCCAGCGAGTTTCGTTACGGCAACCGCGCGTTCAGTGTGAGCGTGGTCAAGCAAACGTCCACGTTTATTGGGTACATGGCAATGGGCATGCAGACGGTTGCCCTTTTGATAGCGGATTTTGGATGGATATGGACGGCGTTTATTACATGGCCCCCCAGCTGCTACTTATTCTATCGCGCACTGGATGGGGGTTTTGAGCACCTGACGACTGAGGAGGCAGAGATTCTCAATGACGAGCACCACCAGGCGCGCAAGGAGGTTCTCCAACGCACTATCGTCTTTGAAGGCTCAGTACTGGAAGGGCTAGGACGCCCATGCGTGTGCTCCTGGCCTGGAAAGTACGAGGCTGCATGGGCTTCTCTGGTCTCCGCGAGCCGCGAAGGGGACGTGAGCACCGCAGTTGTGTTCTTGCCGGACGGCACTGAGAACTTCGGGAAGCACGACCAGATACCCGAGCATGAGGGCCTAAATGGCACGTGCTGGTGTGTGCCCCTGTACGGCGAAGAGAAGCCCTGGGGATGCCGCTGGTGGAGCCACTGGATTGCAAACATCGAAGAGGCCGTGAATTGCGGAGCAGAGCTTGAAGTCTACTACTTTGTGGATCATGTCGGCATGGGCAAGGTCGAGAGCTTTGCCACTGCAGGCAAGGAGCATCTTCGAAGGGAAGAGCTGAACAGTCGAAGGGCGGAGTTCAAAGAGACGGATGACTTTAAGGCTGCGCTGAAGGCTGGTCTTGGGGGTCTCTCCAAGCGGCGATGTGGGGACAGCTCATCACCATACAGCCGCGAAGTGGATCGGCTGTTTCTTGCATGGCTGCCGGAAGAAGAGCGCAAGTTTCTTCTAGCTGCCGAGGGCTTAGGAAACTCTCAAAAAGCCGAAGTGGCCTGGCTTGAGCGCAAGGGCTATCACTATGTAGAGAGAGACGTTTCACTATGGTCGTCCAGATGCATGGAGGAGGTTCACTTGGAGGCAGTAGTGCCAACACAAGCTCACATGGGGCTGCCATCGCGGGAGGTCAATGGCCCGGGCCGACAGCCCAGGGTGTCACATGAAATTGACCTTCCGGGGGCTGTAGCACCCGATGACACAGCCGAATAATTTAGTTTACACGTTTGTGCCCCAACACAGAGTGGCATACAAAGCTGGGCTTCTTGTCTGCCCTCAATGGGCCTGCCAAGTTGCCGGCTTGACTCGGACATGACCCGCCCCTGCATGTGCGCGTGCGCGTGGGGAAAAGCGCTTGAGTACAGAAGCCTTTCGTTGCCTCTTTGCCTAAATGGGGTCTGTAACGGTCTGTACTGGGGACATTGTAGGCTGTCGCTGGCAAAAGAATGCATGTTGTTGGTGTGGTTGTGGTTGTTAGTATGAGCCAGAACCGTAAGGAGCACGCATCTGACACTGGGATTATACAGGGGCTTAGAAGGTCTTGTGTCTATGAGGTGTGTCGGTGAGTGTGCTGGTGGTTCCTGAAAAAAACATGGGGTGCCCGGGAGGGATGCTGGACAGGAAACCATGGGCTTCGTCCGTAAGCTTGTTGGATGCTCATGTGTCACCTTTCAAACACCTCCCACCAGGGGTTTGTAGTTGGAGCGACTTTGAAAACATCCCGTAAACTCTCAACCCTTGCAGAAGCCTTACCGAGCCCTGGAAGAAGGCGTACGAACCCCGCCTTGAAACCCAAAGATCCCTAAAAGCCCCCAATGTGACCCCAAAGTTTCCCAAGAGATCAAGGGTTCAGGGGCTCAAAACATCTCAAACTCGAGGGTCTTTACAAGGGCTTCTGTAGTGTCAATAAGGGTGTGTATAAGGGCTTGTATAGGAGTTGTTCTATGTTGTGATTCTACAAAAGATACGGCAAGGGTTCATATCCTATCAGGCTGCTTCCCTCTTCTTGTGGACCTGGGTTTTTCAACGCTCTCTTGCCGCCACGTGCTTTCCACCTACTCGGCTTCCCTCGAGCCCAAAGCTCCGACTCAAAGGTGCGAAGCGGACAGATGGTGCTCCAACTGCCTTGCCACGAGAAGGCCGTGCGTGACACGGCCGGCACTCGTGTCAGGGGTTTCAGAAGATAGGGTGTTTGTCTGTCCCTGGGAATGCGCTTGGCCCCAAGATTTTTGTGACTCCCCGGTACTCTTTTCCCACCCTGAGTCGATGGAATCCCGCGACAGAGAATCCAAGCCCATAGATGTTTATGCTGTTTTGTGCTTCCTTCGCTGAGGCTGCTTTGACAGACACCCCCACTCAGAGATGCTCGTGACGGGATCTTTCGACAAGACGGTGAAGTTTTGGATTTAAGCTCATGTAGGGTTGCGGCCCAGGCCTTGCCAGTAAGGGTAGCGCATCTGCTGCAACCGCGGCTGTGGGATGCGTTGCTGCAGGCTTCAAGTCCTGCACTGTACAGGTGGGTCGGCAGCTCATAGCTTTCCAATCTGCGTGGTGATGAGCCTCACACCAGAGCACGATCCGAGAATGAGCGTGGGCAGGGCGGCGCGATCCTTTTGATGTGATACGTAGCTTTAGCGGCACGTGTTCATCCGAGCCGTTCTTTTGTGTGGGTCGATGTGTAGTAAATGTATGGTATGTCTAGTGCCCCCATCTTCTACAACAATGTGTACCAAAGGATCTAAACATCTCGCGACAGATTAGAACTCCGGTGCTTCCCTCTGAAGTCTTTCTGAAGCCCTATTGCTGCTCCAAAGCCCAGCCAGTCAGGCGTCCACAGGACGAGATGAAGCCGAGCTGGAATCTTGTTCCAAATTGGCACAAAGCCCTGAACCCTAAACCCTAAATCCTAAATCCTAAACCCTCACAAAGCCCAGCAATCTTACATGGGCTTTCCTATGGTCGAGATGTTTGGATCATCAAGACATCACTTGCACATCGCTTCTAAGCCTAGGCAAAGTTACTCCGCGACTGTGTGCAACCCTGCAGGGCCTCTAGGGGCAGGGAATTGAGTACCGGATTCTTTGGGATTCTCTTCTTGCAATGATTTTGTCTGCACATTGACGAAGCCCTCCCAGAAACTCCAAACCTTGGGCTTTGAGGACAGGGGAGTGGAGCGTTTGCTCTCCTTTCTGCCAGCAGCGGACCAGGCCTAAGATTTGAATGCTGTCGGTGCTTCTTGTGTTTTCCCGACTCGCCCTGCAGGTGACACAACGGATGTAGGGAGGAACGGGGCCCAGAACCCAAGCCTTAAACCTGAAATTCTGCAGATGCTCTGGCGTTGCATTCGGTGCTGCAGATGCTCTGGCGTTGCATTCGGTGTTTGGGGGGTTCAGCGGGTCTTGGGGGGCCTTCGCAACATGAGATGTGGCTAAGGCCAAAGGATTGAACACCTAAGGCACTCAGGCTCCAGATTCAACTGCAGCACCATGTTAGCGGACACTTTCTCAGCCTGTTCTTGAGGAAACTCTTTGACAGGGCCACTGTGCTTTTTTGAGCTTCCTACCACAACTCCAGGGCTTTGCTTCTGAAAAAAGTGCGACTGCTTTCTTGCTAGTCGTGGGGCAGCAAGCGCAGGTCCTACATCGCCCTGCCTTGCGCGATGCGCTCATGAACGCGCAAAAGTCAGAGCTCCGGGCATTGCAGGAGGCGCCTTGCCCTTCATGTGGGTCATGAGGGGCCGCAGGTCAGGGCTGTTTACGGATCATATGGTTGCTGATTGGGTGTCGCTACTTGTATCTGGTCAAGTTGCCCTAAGTGTTGCGCTGCGCGCTGCCATGGCGACTCTTTTGAAAGGGGGGGGGGGGGGCACTGTGAGAGAAGATTCGTCATGCCCACCTCCCAGCCCTCGGAAAGCCAGAATCATAGTCGTAGTACTTCGAGTGCAGTGATGAGTCTCAAAACCAAAACGAGGCTTTCAACTAAGGGTCTTGTCAGCTCTGAGCCCCGGATTAGCTTACACAACTCTTCGCTGCTTTGTCGATTTGCTTGTGCGATGAGTCCAGATGGCTCCGGTTTCATGGCGCATGGTCGGTGTGGCCTTCGAAGCTATCTAGTCCCGAGATAGAGTTTCGTGAGAGCTGTACTGGTGCAAGCGGAGGCATCCTAAACCTGCCCACAGTGTGAGAGTCGAAACGGCAAAGAAGCACAACAAAGTCCCTTCCAGTGAAAGAGTTAGAAACTTCGCAGGCGGGTGACATGATCTCTCTCCCGTGCCTTCGGCGCTTTGATGTGAGGTCTGGGGAGAGAGTGAAAATTGTGGCAGTCATTTGGGGCTTTTGGGATTCCACATTTCTGAGGGTGCCCTTCAGGGAATTTGGGATGTTTGGCACAACAGTTGTTTGGGGCGTTGGGTTGGGATGGGCAGTTTGTCAAGTTACAGTTGGGCCCCAGATGCTACGATCTTCTTAAGCTGTAAGAAGAGATTCAGTGTGCCCAAGCTGAGGCACTTCCGCCCTTCACCGGCAAAACTACGTGAACACCTGGCTGCTGTCGAGGCGTTTGTGGCGCGGCTGGGAGATAGGCGAGCGGGAGGGAGGGGGGGAACTTGCCTACACAGTCGAATAGAGCAATGGGAGCTTTGGTTTTAGGGCCGGGCCTGCACGAGTGAAGGGCGTACGTGACTGTTGCTTTGGGGCTGTTGGGGTCGCAGGAGCATGGGTTGTGCAAGAGGGCCTGTCGGTTCTTACTTAGAAGCAGCAAGCTGTGCGTCTTGAGGTGTACACGGGCACCCTGGTTTAGGCCAGAGCTACACGGCGAAACGAAGGGAACGCCAATCTCGGCCTATAACAGTCACCTTGCAGGCCTTGTGCAGTCACCGTGGCGCGATCTGTGGTGGACGGCTTCTGTCCGATGCGCTGCCACTGTGCGTTGGAGGAAGGCGTGCTCGAGGCTCGGCCCTCACCACCTCCAGCACAGCTGCCGTCAGCTGCTCTCTCTCGCTCTCCCCTCCTCTTCTCTTCTCTCATCGATGTGAACACCATGTGAATTTCTGGGGTCCATGTTGCTGGCTGCGAGTCCCACGAGAGAGTTGCAGCAGAATTCCCCCCCCGCCCCCCCCCCCCCCCGACCGTGCACCTGCAAGATTCTTCGACGCCTCTTCGGGGACTTGGATATCATGTATGGAGACGAGCTGGATCAGCGGGAGCAATGGCCGTGAAAAGGAGCGCGCAAAGCCTGGGCCGAAGCCCTGACTTGCACAACGTGGATGCGCACCCCGAACCCTGCACGCCGCAGCTCTTATTGGGCTTCGAGATGGTTTCGATCTTTGTACTCGGCGGGCTGCAATCTTGCAAGAATGCACACGACAGCATGCATGCCTACTAAGCTTACGTACGCAGACATCCTTCAACATGGAAGGGCATGCATCTTCTGCCTTCGGCAGGGTGCTCCCTGTGTTGCTACAGCTTCCGCAAGTCGGGCCTCCAGGCTCAGGGGCCCCTGCCATGCTTGGGCCGGCCTCTTTCTTCTTGGCGGCCGTGCTCGGCTTCGGCCCCTCCGAGTGGAAGAGGGTTCCGGGATGTTCAGGGCATTTAGGGTCCCGGCATCAGGGGTTCAGCAACTCTTTACCCAAGATTGTGGTGATGTGTTGGCACCGCTTCTGCCAGACTTGCAGAGACTCCTGCGGCACGCCCATGGCAAGCATGAGTTCAGTACTCCTGAGCGTCACCCCAGCTGCCCAAATCCAGTGCGTGCTGTCCGTCAACCTTGCAGAAGTCTTTTCGTGGCCCTTTTGGTTCGTGGATAAACATGAGGGCTGGCCAAGTCCGTCAGCACAGGCACGCCCATCCTCACCGACCGGCTCCGTGGATTGATCCGGAAACCCCAGGCATCCTCCGCCTCGAGGGATCTGGGGTCGGGTTTGGGGGCCGTGGAGAGGATTTGGAGTGAATCGGCCGCATAGTCGTAGGGTTAGGATGTGTTTAGATTCGCATCCGCAGACGAGGGAGCCAGGGCAGCTCCACCAGATGATTCGAAACCAAAGCCACCTTAACTCTGAACACCTTCGAGCGATCTCCTTCAAGCCCCGAGAGGTGGCGACCGTGTCAGCCCCCTCCTTTCGCGGTGCCATTTCCGAGGAGGCTCAGGGAGCAATCCAGGATCCAAGTCGCAACTTAGGATGTTGCCCTAGCGCTACCACTGCATGCCGTCACCCCCCTACCACTGCATGCCGTCACCCCCCGTGGAAAAGCTCAGAATATGTGAGTTGCAGAATGTCTTTTCCCGGTGGAACAAGATGCAAGTCGCGAAGATGCCAGCTCGGGATGATGGATTGTATGAGCACGCTTGACCAAGGCTGCTTGCAACAGCCATTCTTGAATCAGTAGCTTTGATTGACTAGCTGACTGGCTATTGGCTTTGTTTCCTGGCTGCCTGTTGACCCTGACTGTGTTAGACACGCGTCGTGCTTTTTGACTGTTTGAGCTTTTGCATTTGAACAGTGTGGCGAAAAGTCAGGATTTTCAATTGCATCTCAAGAACCTGCCTGGCAACCTGTTCCTTATTTTGTCATTCTTGCTGTTTCTCTGCCTCATTTCAGCTGCGATTCGTTGCCAGGGCTTAAAGCAGCGGGTTCCATTGCTGATGGTGGGGTGCGATGGTTGTTGGGAACAGGAACACGGTGGCAGAATGCTATCACATCTGCTGGCCGATGTGAAGCAGGGTTTATATTTCTTTGACTGGTGAGTGTATATAAGGTTCCTTGTTATTATTGGTGAGTGTATATATATATATATAGATATATATATATATATATATATATATATTGGGTGTCCTTTTGGGGATACTTCGGAGACTCCAGGGATACAAGAAAGACAAATCCTACTTCATGTGTCCTCACGCAAACTCTAGGGCTCCGGAACCCTAACCCTGGAACGCTTAACGGCTAGGTGCTGTTTCCCAATGGCATCAGGGCTTGGTCAGAATACTGCTGGGTGAGATGCGGGCGACCTTCTGTATTGTTGGCATTTTTGAGAGCATCTACTTGAGAATGCTCCTTAGCGTCCTGCTGTGCTGCCAAATTTCGAGGCTTGCACACGTTGATGTGTTCGAATATCTGTCAGTCCCTGCAAAGTGGTCCCCCAGCCATGTGTATGACAGGCTTCAGTCCCGGAAGTGGAGCTGCCCGGAGATCACTGGTTACCTGGCCAACGTATGGCCTCAGGGTGGCATGTTGCCTTGAGGATTGCATGACTGGTTTTGAGGTTTACTGAAGCCTAGGGACTACAATGCTCCGGGCTGTTGACCTGTTGACAGCCCCAAATCGTGCTGGAGCCCCTCGTTGGCTGAGAGGCCTACGTGGACAGATGCATGCCTCAACCGCCCATACCCTGCACACCCCCCTGTAAAATTGACACAAGAAGCACCACAAGTCCTGTAGCCAAGGCTTGAGGTGGTAAGAGGGATAGTGGGGACCAGTGGAGCTAACAGGGTCGGTGGGAGCCAACTGCCTACTGTGCCAACGGCCCGACCTCCAGGCCGCGCGAATTTCAACGTTGCCTTGGGGTTGAAAGCTGTTGGTTTGGTGCTGAAAAGCAGTTCAGGTCAGCAACCCACACGAATTTCGACTTTGGCTCGGGGTTGAAAGCTGTGCGGGCGAGCGGCCCGCACCAAATTTCAGGTTGGCTTGGTGCTGAAAAGAGGTGCAGGTTAGCAACCCACACGAATTTCAACGTTGGCTTGGGGTTGCAAGCTGTGCGGGCGTGCGGCCCGCACCAAATTTGAGGTTGGCTTGGTGCTGAAAAGCGGGTGCAGGTCAGCAACCCACACGAATTTGGACGTTGGCTTGGGGTTGAAAGCTGTGCGGGCGAGCGGCCCGCACCAGATTTGAGGTTGGCTTGGTGCTGAAAAGCGGTGCAGGTCGGCAACCCACACGAACTTGGACGTTGGCTTGGCGGCCCGCGCCAAATTTGAGGTTGGCTTGGTGCTGAAAAGCGGGTGCAGGTCAGCAACCCACACGAATTTCGACTTTGGCTCGGGGTTGAAAGCTGTGCGGGCGAGCGGCCCGCACCAAATTTCAGGTTGGCTTGGTGCTGAAAAGAGGTGCAGGTTAGCAACCCACACGAATTTCAACGTTGGCTTGGGGTTGCAAGCTGTGCGGGCGTGCGGCCCGCACCAAATTTGAGGTTGGCTTGGTGCTGAAAAGCGGGTGCAGGTCAGCAACCCACACGAATTTGGACGTTGGCTTGGGGTTGAAAGCTGTGCGGGCGAGCGGCCCGCACCAGATTTGAGGTTGGCTTGGTGCTGAAAAGCGGTGCAGGTCGGCAACCCACACGAACTTGGACGTTGGCTTGGCGGCCGCGCCAAATTTGAGGTTGGCTTGGTGCTGAAAAGCGGTGCAGGTCAGCAACCCACACGAATTTCGACATTGGCTTGGGGAAAGCTGTGCGGGCGAGCGGTCCGCACCAAATTTGAGGTTGGCTTGGTGCTGAAAAGCGGTGCAGGTCAGCAACCCACACGAATTTGGACGTGGGCTTGGGGTTGAAAGCTGTGCGGGCGAGCGGCCCGAGCCAAATTTGAGGGTGGCTTGTGCAGGTCGGCAACCCACTCGAATTTCGACATTGGCTTGGGGTTGAAAGCTGTGCGGGCGAGCGGCCCGCACCATGAGGTTGGCTTGGTGCTGAAAAGCGGTGCAGGTCAGCAACCCACACGAATTTCGACGTTAGCTCGGGGTTCAAAAGCTAAATTTGAGGTTGGCTTGGTGCTGAAAAGTTGTGCAGGTCAGGAACCCTTACGAGTTTCGACGTTGGCTTGGGGTTGAAAGCTGTGCGGGCGAGCGGCCCGCACCAAATTTGAGGTTGGCTTGGTGCTGAACAGCGGTGCAGGTCAGCAACCCACACGAATTTCGACGTTGGCTTTGGGGCTGAAAGCTGCGCGGGTGAATTCAACAAATTTGAGGTTGGCTTGGTGCTGAAAAGACACGAATTTCGACGTTGGCTTTGGGGCTGAAAGCTGCGCGGGCGAATTTCGACTTTGGCTTGGGGTTGAAAGCTGTGCGGGCGAGCAGCCCGTGCCAAATTTGAGGTTGGCCTGGCGAGGAAAAGCGGTGCAGGTTAGCAACCCACACGAATTTGGACATTGGCCTGGGGTTGAAAGCTGTGCGGGCGAGCGGCCTGCACCAAATTTGAGGTTGGCTTGGTGCTGAAAAGCGGTGCAGGCTAGCAACCCACACAAATTTCGACGTTGGCTTGGGGTTGAAAGCTGTGCGGGCGAGCGGGCCGCGCCAAATTTGAGGTTGGCTTGGTGCTGAAAAACAGTGCAGGCCAGCAACCCACACGAATTTGGACGTCGGCTTGGGGTTGAAAGCTGTGCGGGCGAGCGGCCCGCACCAATTTGAGGTTGGCTTGGTGCTGAAAAGCGGTGCAGGTCAGCAACTCACACGAATTTCGACGTTGGCTTAGGGTTGAAAGCTGTGCGGGCGAGCGGCCCGCACCAAATTTGAGGTTGGCTTGGTGCAGCAAACCGCGCGAATTTCGACGCTGGCTTGGGGTTGAAAGCTGTGCGGGCGAGCGGCCCGCGCCAAATTTGAGGTTGGCTTGGTGCTGAAAAGCGGTGCAGGTCAGCAACCCACACGAATTTGGACGTTGGCTTGGGGTTGAAAGCTGTGCGGGCGAGCGGCCCGCACCAAATTTGAGGTTGGCTTGGTGCTGAAAAGCGGTGCAGGTCAGCAACCCACACGAATTTCGACGTTGGCTTGGGGTTGAAGCTGTGCGGGCGAGCGGCCCGCGCCAAATTTGAGGTTGGCTTCGTGCTGAGAAGCGGTGCAGGTCAGCAACCCACACGAATTTGGATGTTGGCTTGGTTGAAGTCTGTGTGGCTTGGTGCTGAAAAGTGGTGCAGGTCAGCAACCCACACGAATTTGGACGTTGGCTTGGGGTTGAAAGCTGTGCGGGCGAGCGGCCCGCACCAAATTTGAGGTTGGCTTGGTGCTGAAAAGCGGTGCAGGTCAGCAACCCTCACGAATTTCGACGTTGGCTTGGGGTTGAAAGCTGTGTGGGCGAGCGGCCTGCACCAAATTTGAGGTTGGCTTGGTGCTGAAAAGCTGTGCAGGTCAGCAACCCACACGAATTTGGACGTTGGCTTGGGGTTGAAAGCTGTGCGGGCGAGCGACCAGCACCAAATTTGAGGTTGGCTTGGTGCTGAAAAGCGGGTGCAGGCCAG